CAAGGTGTGACTCGCAAATTGTATTTGAGTGAATGTATTGACTTTGGTCCAATTTGAATGGTTCAATTATAGTTGGTGTATCGTACTACATAAGGTCTGTAATTTCTTTAATGGAAAACATTGACTTTTTACTTTGTGAATTGACAGTTTTAGATGTGGAAGTGCATTGACATTTCCCAAGATATCGATATTTCGAGTTATTTATAACTTGTTCGGTAAAGATTAAAATATGATTAAAATTAAAAAAAGTAGTCGTTATTGTTGACTTTTATTAGACGAGTGAGACCCAATAACGACTATATTTTCAATTTTAATTGGATTTTAATAACTCCCGAACGGGGCCTTAATTTTTTTTTGGGGGAATGAGGGCAATTTGGTTATTTTACCTTAACAGCCTTTTAGACTCAAACCGCAAGTGAGGACCTTGGTCGTTGTTTATAAAAGGTTTGAGGGTATAACTGTCAAAAAACAAAGATTAAGGATAGACGTGCTTAAGAGAATAAACTTTCTTTTATAACCGACTTGCCGTCATTGTAAAGAAGTTTTACACAAACGGTGAACTGTTTATCCCAGTGCAGTTTTCAGTTTACTGCTGTTAGTTGCTATGCCATTAATTTCTAGAGCTTAAACCCTAATTCGCGCGCTACAGAGACATATCTACACACAAATCGGGAGCTTCTCCGTGGCACATGTATGAATCCTCTTTGTGATTTTGATTCACCGCAGGTCCGCAGCTTCAATTCAAGCCTTGAGTGATTGTCTTCTAAGGTAAATTGCATAATTTTATTATTATACCACTGAATGGATGTTAGTGAACGTGTTGAATTCTGGGTTTCTGGGTTCAATAATTTTTAAATAAGAGGGCTTTGATTTTTGATTGAATTTTATAATGGGTAATTACTCCACAATTTTTATTTCTTGCACCACATTTTAATTGCACATAAAATTTTTAATCTTTGTTCATTATATTACTTATGTCGTGATTTTCGCGTCATTCCTATCCTCAAACTTTTCATTAGCTAACACATTTTGTATTTGACAACAATTTTACGTCCAAAAATTCGTTAAAATAGCATAAAACAACTTATTTTCCCATCATATATTTAAAAATAAATAAATAACGTATATTTAAAAAAATAAATAAAAAGTGCTAAGAAATATTTTTTTCCTCATTTCAAGACATGAAAACAAAATATTTTGATATAAATCATGATAAAGGGCGAGACATACTAATTAATGGAAGATAAGAATTCACTAAAAAAAGTTAAGGAAATAATTACTACAATAAGCAAAGATTGAGGAGTTTAACTGCAATTAAAATGTGACGTATCAAATAAAAACTGTGGTGACAATATAACCACCATTTTATAATTGATCTAGAAATTTTAATCTGATTGCAGGCTCTTCAAGTATGGTGTGGTGCAGTAACTGTGCCAAAAATATAAGCCGTCCAGACTACGTGGAGGGCAAAATGTGAGGTTCTTTAAGTTTAACCGATTCTATTCTTGTGCATAACACTAGAAAAGATGCAGCTTTGCTTGGCAGCATCTCACTTGATACTGCTGATTAAGCCACAAAATAAGCGTTTTAGCTTCATCTTTGTGCTTTTAAGCTAATCCAAACATGCTTGTATATGGTGCTATATTTTGAGTTTTCGCGCCTTATGGTTAAAGAGGTTCCCTTTAGATTATGTATATTCAATGACGTAGGAGAACTATGTGCAATTAAAAGAGAGTTATGAACTGTGGATTAGTCTATTTTTTTATGCAAATTTCTTTGTCTTGTGTGATCCAGATGCTGTTCACTTTGCGGGAGAGTTCTTGATGAGGACAACTTCTCAAATGAGCCCACATTTGTTAAAAACGCAGGGGGACAGGTTAGAGCCTGCTTTATAATGTTTTTGGCATGGATAACTAGGTTTTGTATTCTGTGGGTAGAGCAGTGATTTGCTTATGGTCAGAAATATGATTGCTGATTACTCATTAAAAATTGTTCTGTTGTTTTCAAGTTTTTGTCAAAAAAACCTCCAAAGCCTGATTTAAATACTGCGAGGACTACGATAGTTCAAAACATTCTTGGTGATAAGGAATTTTCCTTTGACAGTTCATAGTTTTTTTTTAATATTTTTCGTAGTTTGTTTACCTTGCCCCTGTTTGGTAGATATTTTTGTTATTGAGAGAATGTGTTGTTGGAAATGAATTTGGGGGAAAAAAATGAATTTTAGAAAATGGAGACCAAAGAGGCTTTATATTTTTGGTTCTGTGATTGTTTTGGAACATTAGGTGACGTCTTCTTCTAGCTGTATCTCCTTCACTTTATTCCTTTTATCTTTTTAGGTCATAAATATGTATTTTAAGTTATGTATTTTTGTTCTTGGTGGACACATTTAACGAAGAAACGAAAATCAAGAAACAGTTAGAGATGCATTTTCATTTGAGCTATAATGTTTATATTACTCCATATTGTAGTGTGATGACTAATTTGAATTTTATTTCTAGAGTCAATTGGCAGGAAATTATGTGAAGACCATCCAAAGTGATTATTCACTTTCTCGTGAAAGGATACTGAACGAAGGTAGTTGTATGCTTCACTTACGGGAAACAATCTACTGTCTTATTAACGTTGTGTGTTACAATCTACCAAACATCATTTATAGCATAACATTTTCTTTGTCTAAAAGGGCACTTGTTTTTCATGCTGATTATCTACGCAGCTCTACTTCACCAAAGCATTTTGTAGCACATTTTATATAAATTTGGACTGCTTTATGGTCCGTGATTTTCGACATCATAGGTACCATTTCCGACGCAACAATGGATTTCTTCTCATCCATAACTTCGAAGAAGCGATCCAAGAAGTCCCAACAAGCCCAATAATCAAAGGAATTTACCAAAATAATTCAGGCCCAATAACAACCTCTGGCTCAACACACAGAATTCACAATTTAAGCCCGAAATATACTTGGCCCAATCCAACTATAGCCCAATCTAAATAAATTCAATATCTCAAATACTGCACCCAAACTCAAATGCAGCCTAAAATAAAAGGCCCAGACCAAAATTATCGTCTTTGTACGAATGAAGAAGCCGAAGTCCTGCCGTAACCAGAATCTGCCCCAGCCACGCGATCGATTATCCGGAAGAGAGAACTCGGAATCTTCCAGCAACCAGTCGACCCAATCGACAATTGTACCACCAAGAGATTTTCGCAATCTGTAATTATTCCCACGATCGAGAAGATGAAGCCAAGAGTCACCGGCAACCAAAATTGACGGTTACAAATCAAACGGCACAACACTGAGAGCAAAGAAATTGGAGAAACCCTATGTCCCCCGGACTGAAGATTGACGAGGCGAAGACCGGTGAGCCCTGATGCGAGACGAACACTGAACGTAGACTCGACGCGAGGCGAAGGCAGGGACTGATTGGCAAACTAAGAAGAACGGATGCAGATACTTTTGAAAAACTCCGGATGGTGGCTGAGAATTCGAAAACTCCAGACTAATAACCGTATGGCTGTGGTAGCTCGACAAGCCGCGATGCCCTCCATGGCAATCGCCTCCCGCGCCTTACTTTTCTCTGATACCATGTAAGCAGAATGAAGAAAGAAAATAATAGAATATATTCTCCTTATTGATTAGTAAAGATAATACATGTATATATATACAAAACCTAGAAAACTAACTTAGGAAAGTATGCAAATTAGGAAAACCTAGAATTATGGTAATTAGCCAACTAATTACAATCTGTAACAGAAATAAATGTAAATGACTAGTAATTCTTGTAAGATAAATCACCAGTAAGCTGTCTGACTTGATTAGGAGCATGCTTAACTTCAACATCTTGAAGATCTGAAATGCTTTTATACAATCAATCATTATCTGGAAAAGGACATACTAATATCTGTGTAAGCTGATCACATGTATGGCCGTTAGATTTTGTCCATATGACCTCGGTTTTTGTATTTATGTTAGTTTCCTTGGTTATTTTCAGCGTATGATGGGATACAGAGTTTGATATACGCCCTGGGAATAGATGGCGGTGATTCTATAGCTCGGCCAGCTTTGGCCTTTTATAAGGTATGACTCCTTATATTGAAATTTGTCTTCTGAATTTTCTATTGATCAAAACAGTGATCTGTAAATTAATGTTGCTTTGCAGATAGCAGTTGAACGCAATTTCACAAGGGGGCGAAGAAAAGAGCAAGTGGAGGCTGCTTGTCTGTACATTGCATGTAGGTGAGGAATATGTTACACAAGTTTGAGTCTATGTATGTTTAGACTTTAGAACCATAGTTTAATATACTACTGTTAATCGTGTTGATTATATGGTGTTCCATATTTGGAAATAAACTTTCTTAGTGATAAAGGCACTAGATGTCTGGGTGTTGGCAACACTGTTGGATTTCATAACTTGGCCTTTTCTCCTTTCTATACGTGAACTTTATTGAACTTTAATACTTGTCTCATTAAGTATATGGTGTCTTATTAAGTATATGGTTTGGTCAGTAATGAGTTTAATGGTCATATAGATGTCTCGACACCTCTATTTTCTTGTTAGATGGATGACTGTCCCATTCTATCGCTAGTAAATACTAACTAGGATATATTCGAGGGGAATCAGACAAATGCATGCCTTGAGAAAGCAATGATAGAATGATAAATGTTTGTAATAAAGTTTTAAATTAGTTTTTTGTCAATAGGTAATAACTTATGTAGGTCATTGTCTTTAGCTTTTCAAATGGACCATTCGGTGGAACACTTTGCCGAGTCACAACCATTTTACACATTTCAGATTTTCTTTGTCGAAGGCATATTTAGCTACTCTTTTAAATGAATTTGTGTTATTGGCCTTTCAAGGATATGCTGCTTGATAAGCTCAAAAATATCTTTGTATTTATAAATGCAATGAATACTATTGGGTTGATAAGTAAGAATATTATCCTGCTGTCCTCTGTCTTTTGATTGGTGGCAGTCATCAGATTCTGCATCTGCAACTTTGAATTTTATCTAATTACCTTGATATAGGATAATTATCTTTGATATTTGAGGGTGATAATCACAAATTAGGAAGTGATGATGTGTATAGTCATTAAATAACAAAATCACTAATTGCTGTATTCTTAGAATGCTACGACTGTGTTTTTGTATCCTTTATATGTATATCTTATTTTTCACTTGTTAATAATCCCCTGCATTAGATATAGTTTTTAGGTGTTTAGATGCTGAATATGCATGTAACTGTGCTATATGACGTATTTTCTAGAAGTTAAACAATCTGATGCTCTCTCTTCCTTCAGATAATGCTCAAAAAGATTCTATATATGAATTTTGCTTTCCGAACTCTTCCAAGATTTCGGATGTTCATTTTGCTAAGATCTTATCCACAATCTTGTACCTTAGTTGCAGAGTGAAAGGAGAGAGACTAGGAGTGAGAGCAAGAGCAAGAGCAATGTTAAAAATTACTCAAGAACAGGGAGGCCTTAGAGTGTCATTAAAAAAAATAAAATGGAAATCTTTATACATGGATGTCCAATATCTTGGTGAGCAGTCAGGTTTTATATCAGCCCATATATCTTTTCACTTCACTTACATACACTCATCTACCAGTGGAAAGAAAGGAGTGAATGGAAACGCGAAAAAATCTATTAAAAAATTCGTAAAAGCCATATAACCAGCCCATATCCTTGTTTGCCTTTTTCTGCGGCTCATCTCCTCCTTATGCCATAAGCATTGGAGCATAACCTTGGAGCGGCACTTGCATATATTACCAGTTCACAATCTGGATTGCTGGAGGTTAGCCTCCACTGCCAACCTATGCGACTTAGTTTGCACACACGATCAGTTTTAACCAGCTGATTATATGATTGCTGGTTCACCTTGATTTTAATGTTAATAATTTTTTTATAATTGCAATCTAATTAAAATACATGTTCTGTAATTGAAATGATTTTTAGTTTATATGTACTGGCATATATTTGATCAACAATGATATTTTACTACTGCCAAACAAGGTTCTATTTATTTTTCCATTTTTTTGCAGGGAGAATAAAAAGCCATACCTTCTTATTGATTTTTCGGAACATCTGAGGATAAATGTGTACGTGAGATTTTCTTTTTGGACCTTAAGTAACAAATTGGGTGCTTTAAATTTTTTATCAGGCTTTAATAAGTGCTTTTCAAGGGTTATAAATATGTTCAAGGTGATGTTTACCTTGCCTCTCTTGGATTGATGGCAAAGTAAAATGAGACCTGCACGTAAAGCTAGTAGGTTTTTTTCAGCAGGGCTTATGTCTATTCCATTCTTGATACCATCGGGTAACAATCATCATTATCCATGTACGGACTGTGCACGTGCATTGGGCCTGGCGTGTGCATTCTACAACATCCACATATCTTCTTAGAACAACGTACCTTGTGGTTTCACTTTGGTCAGCACAAAAATCGATATTTTTCTTTCATTTTTTGGGTACATTGGAAAAGATCATTGATAAAGCAAATGTAGTTCAACAAGGTTGGTTTTTGTCCAGCTCGATGAAAAAAAAAGTGTATTAACATTTTCTTTCGCATGTAGAATTTCCATTAATTTAGCATATGGAAGTAGATGAAGAGTCTAAATTGAAATAAAAATGAAAGCTGATTGACTAAAGTGGAACAAGACTTTAAATTGGGTGCCGAAAAGTGTTTAAACCCGTGGATAATCTGTGAAGGATGTAGAATATGGACACAATTGCTAGAAATGTTTGGGTAGATTTAAAACGAAAATAAAGGTAAAACACATTTGAATCCCAATTTAGGGGAATTATAGGAATCTAAGGAAATAAAGTTTTAGAGAAGATTGAAACCGTTGTACCATTTAGGTGGGTTTGATTGCATCTAGGCCATAGATGAGAGCGGTGATTAAAGTTTACCAACTTTTTGAAATGCTGTCAAATTTAGCAAGTTTCATGGGGTTATGAAAATTTATTGTGTTTTATCTTTTTTGTGTCGTTCACAGTTATGTGCTAGGTGCAGTATTTTTGCAGCTTTGCAAACTTTTAAGCCTCGAAGAGCATCCAGTTGTTCAAAAACCTGTCGATCCTAGCCTTTTCATTCATAGATTTACTGATCGTAAGTAAATGTTCTGATCCTGTTTACTGTATTAGTTTGTGAACTCTTTTGTCTTAATTATTTGTCCATCCTTTTGATTTAAGGTACAATTGAATTGACATCTATAATAAAAGTTGATCCGTACTCAACTCTGGAAAGATTGTTAATTTATGTACCCTATATGGTACTCCATCAAAGACAAACATGCAACTTAAAAGATGCATTTTCCAATACAAAAACTGTCTCAGACTGTCCATTAAGTTAAATTCCAAAATGCGTTGAACTAAAAGTTTCAGCTATTAGACGTGGCCCATATATTTCATTTAAATGCCCCCTCACGTGGAGGTAGGGTTCATATTCTTCCAATCAAAGCGTATTAAATAGTTGGCGACGAGACTTGAACCCATAACCTTTGCCTCTATGATGTCATGTAGAACCAATCTAAAAGCTCAAAGTAATTAGAGATGACCATATATTTATCATTTAAATCTTTTCTTCAAGGCACTCCTCGAGCAGGGTTCATTTTTTCCCACAGAAGCTTTACATGCACAACTTTCATTAAAGGGAGACGGCGAGACTTGATCCCAAGAACTTTGCATGTTTAGCTCCTATGCTGTGTTGAACCACTTGATTCTTGAACTAAAAGTTTAAGCTATTAGATAAGGCCACATATATGTCATTTAAATGTTGTATTCAACAAAATTGATTTCAAAACTTCCTAACTATCCACAACTTCCAAATATTAAATAATTAACTTATTAGAAAATTACCTTATGTGAAGGTTTGCCGATATAAAAAACTGCTTATTAAGAGTTGGACAAGTGGAGAATATTGGTGTGAACAAGAAAGTTTGGATATAACCAGATCTAAGCATTGGCCACGGAATCTCAAAAGGCGTGAAAACATATAAGAACTCTTGAATGCAAAATGGGAAGAGATGTAACTCCACTTTCTTTATTAGCAGAATTAGCCGTGTCTAAACATTAATAAAGATTTCGTTTGGCTTAAACATAATAACAGGTTGAATTTGAAATTGATGAAACCCAGACCTTTTGTTTGTCAATTATGTCCTTAATCAATTAAGTTCTTTGGATTTCTTCTCTTTTGGTCCATCCACTCTTCTATGATGCCTTCTTCTATTCATAAATATCATAATTGTTCTGTGTATATTGCTTGTGTAATGAATATTCATTTAATTTATCCGTCACATGCAAATAAGCATTATTAGGAATCCTCCTCGTAGGTCTTTTTGGTGGAAGAAAACCAAATGTTTCAAAAACTGCACTTCACATTGTTGCTAGCATGAAGCGAGATTGGATGCAGGTTTGAAATTATGACTATAATTTGCAGTAGTCCTTGTTGTTATGATGCAAATATCTCGTCGTCTGGCACTAACCAGTACATTTCTTGCAGACTGGGAGAAAACCTAGTGGGTTATGTGGAGCTGCATTATACATATCGGCTCTCTCACATGGTCTCAAGTGTTCTAAGTCAGGCATTGTAAGTGAAGTTTGACATAAACTATATCAAAAGTAGACTGTTGACATGCTGATCCTGTCAATATTTTTTGCCCTTTTCAAAGTTTCTAAAACTATAAAGTGTTCTGCTGTACGTACCTGGGGAATGATCTAGTCATTGATTATGAGATTTATTTGTTAATGTTGGAAACTTAATGTAGCTTGTATGTGTTGGTGGCAGCAAAATGCTCGGTGGTATATAAGTGCCTCAGGAGCACCTTAGTTCCTTGCAAATTTCACGACAGTTTGTGTGTTGGTTTCATATTTGTCCATTAAAACTTGAGGCATTTTGTAGACATATTTAGGCCCTGTTTGGTTATCAATTAAAATCTAGATTTTAATCTAAATTAAAGTCAACAATTCATTTCAACCACATTTTATGGGTCCCACAACTTTTCAACCATACATTTCATGAACATCTATCATAATCTACTAAAAATCTAATTTTACTCCCTACCAAACAAGAGCTTAATTCTTCCCTATTATGATCTTGAAAAGTAGCCATTTTTCTGCAATATAATTGAACTTTGAGGGGAAGTGTTTGAGCAGCAACCAAGTCTCAAAATCATAGTTTAAAAACCAACCCAGAGCAGACTGTTCGTTCAGTGCTGAAAACTAGTGAACTAGTCTGCAGACTGGTTCAATTGGTGTCTATAGACTGGCTTACCAAAACCCTTCAAAATCCTGTTGAGCTGGGTAAACCGCATGGAGTTAACAGAAACCCACACTAGAACAATTTTCAGGTAAAATTTAGTGTTGCAAACCCTAATGTCAGGTATTGAACCTGAGACCTCCACTATAAAGACATGCCTCTTTCCACTAGGCCAATGTTAAAGGCTGTGCAGACTGCAGAGCAATAACTAAAATCATATTTAAATATGACTATTTGGTAGTTTCTTTTCTATTGAATTAATATAGTCAAGCATAGTTACTGGTAAACTTAATTTTATATTAAAAGATGTCAAATTTGTATGCTTAAAGATTTTAAGCAGTACAATTTTAACTTATTACTTGCCTTAATTTTTGAATGTAGAGTTACTACGTTATATTATTTTTATGAAATTATTGTTATTTAGGTTTGTGTCTAGTGGTGACCTGTAGGTGTAACCACTGACTTGATGAACCATGCTATGGCCATGCTGGATAGCTATGCTCTAAACAGTTGCACAGAAGATACATTTTTTTATAGAGGAAGTCAAAATTGAAAATATTTTATTATTAATAACCTGTGGAAGCTCATAAATGGGAATGGAAGGCCCTAATGGAGTGTCAAATAAATTCTTAAGTCGGTGCCACCAATTGACATCACCGTAATTTCACTGGAAAGCACTAGTTATGCATGTATACACCATTTGCTGAACTTCCTTGGCATTTATAAATAGCTTTCACACACTTGATTCAAAATATATTGGTATTTTGTTGTAGAAGTCCAATCATTTGTACTTATTCTTATGTTGTTTTATCTTATGGAAATTATCTATTTTTTGTCAGATTAAGGTTGTGCATATTTGTGAAGCAACATTGACCAAGCGGTTGATTGAATTTGAGAATACCGAATCAGGAGGTTTGACGGTATGTTTTCTTTGGAACAAGTTGAATCCTTAGAATCCGTAACTCAGCATATATAATGCTTATGATTACAAATTGAAAATTGGGTGGAATTAAGTATTTTAACCAGAAGTGCCTAGTTGAATATATGTTATGGACACTGTCTTAACTACTGGGTATATTCAAACTTTCCTCTTGGGCATGTAGTTTCGTTCTCTCTGTTTGCAGCAGTGTAGGTGTATTTTGCAAAATAGAAAGCCCATCAATATGCATAATTGAGTGATTCCCATAGTCCATAGCCCATAGGTCGATTCATTTGTATTTGTAATAACCTATTATTTTGACATTTGATGAAAAATTACTCATAAATCATCCTCGTCGTTTTTTCTTCAGTTATTATCAGTAAGACAATTTTGCACTCTCTCCTTCCATTTTTTTTCAAGAATTGGAAAATAATTTTCATTTTGGCATATTTTCTTTAGTTTTATTGCCGATGCCTGATGGAGACATATTTATCAAGTACCGCGATATCTTATTTATGTGTGATGGGGTTATAATTAAATGTTAAAGTGAACTAGATCGAGGAGTTCAACCTGAAAGCTGAGGAGCTTCAAAAAGAGGAAGGGTTTACCAAAGCACAGTATAGTGGGTCAAACACATCAGGGGCAACTGAATTGCTCTGTGAACACAAGGGCAGTGGGAAACCTCCATTTGCTCATGGTCTTTGTGAAAGTTGCTACAGCGAGGTAACTCGTGATTCCCTCACCTCATATTTTCCCAAACAATATGGAGGATAACAGTGATTGTGCTTGTTGTTACAGTTCATAAAACTTTCTGGAGGCCTTGATGGTGGATCAGACCCTCCATCTTTCCAATGTGCAGAGAGGAAAAGAATTATGGCAATGGAAGCTGCTGCTGATAGCACTGAGAATCCAAGTTGCCCCACATCGCCTAGCCCAACAGAAAACAAGAGTAAATGTTCAAATGTACTTTCTGACTCACTCTCTCTCTCTCTCTCCCCCCTTTTGTATCTCTTTCTTGCTCTCTCATCTGGAAATTCTCTATGCCCCTACTGAATCCAGCTCTCCCCAATCGAGGCAAATTCTGAATACTGGACATCTCTTCCTCTCTCCTCTCTCTCACTTTATACACACACATATTGATGTTTGCTATTTCTTAGTTTGTAAATGTTTGACTCTATGACTTCTGGTTGACAACAGCAAGATTGATGACTTGGTGAACAAATTATTGAATCATTTTGAAAGGATACAAGGTTGAAGATAACCTAGAAACAGTGAATCACAATATTCATCATGCCTTTTGATGCCTAATATATCTTGAGCAAGAAGCCCAGCTCTCATAGAGGTGTATTATTGGTCGCCTAGACGCCTTTTTCTGATTGTATGTTAATGTAGGATCATGCATCAGGCTGATACTTATGTTCAGTGTTTTGGAAGTATTATTGAGTTATATTGATGCATATTACATGGTCAAGGTGTTGCAGAAGTCAAGACATGGGAAAAAGCTTTTACTATACACCTTGATGGATGATGTGAATATTGAGCATGCATTTTTTGGAACTATCTGATAATTTGTAACATATTTTGCAGAATAGTAATATCTAAATGCTGATTTATTTAAATTATTTGTGTCTCTCTTTCTATTTTATTTGGAAAGGTTGTAGGTGCAGCATAAAGTTGTGCTTCCTTCTTTCCAAATATTCTTGATTTCTTACTCCAGTTGTCCCTGAGTTGAATGTTTCGAATTTTCTTTCCTTTTTGCGATGTCTTAATATTATCTTGAAGAAACTTCTCCATATTTTGTTATTCCCAATCTACATATAAAATAATACCGTTTTGCATTTTTTCAACTCTCTCCTATATAATCGTGACAAGTCGAATAATTTCATCCAATTTGAGATGGAAGGAGGATTACACAAGAAGCTAAGTCTACTTCTCATACTAATATTACAACATTAACATACACATGGTCTTCTAATTTTGTTATTAATGTTCATATATTTTGGCTCCAATTATGATAGTGGCATGTTATCTTGTTGATTCATTTTTTGTATTCAGAACCTGCCAAAGCGTAAATCACTTTTCTAACTTCCTTTTGCACTGTTGATTTGTGCACTTTTGCTGCCAAGAATTAACTCCTATTTAGTCTTAAGTTAATTTGTCTTTATCTTTTTTAATTCATTAGTTTAACGAAGAAGGTGACATCAAGCGTAGGAGTGAAGATGAAAATTTGCAATCTGTGGAGTCTGAATCAATAGGTATCCTACCATTTAATTTTTTCCTACGATTTTAATGCCTCGTCTGCATTTAGTTTTGGGAAATTCTCACTTTACTTCATTGTTCAAGGTGCTGCTGCACGCCATAAAATCGAAGATTCTGCTAATGATAAAATACATGGAGCTGATACAGCTGCTGAAGAATGGGAGAGCTTATCTGACATTGATGATTTAGAGGTTTGTAACTTTTCCATGCTTACCTTGAATGGAATATCATTGCATGTCAGGTGTTGTCACATGACTATTTCTCCTTTCTTTGTTCTGGGTAGTATCTGCTTGAAGGAAATGAATGTAAATGCTGGTGAATTCTGTTGCTTACATTTCATCAATTAAATGTCTTAGATTTCATTAATATACAGTTAGCTTGGTGGTCCATCCCATAAATCCACTTAGGTTTGGTCATTGTTCCAGTGTAAATGTCCATTATCCATGTAGCAATTCATTAAATGAAGGCTATTAGATTATGTCTAATATTCGAATCCTATATTACTTAGCCCCCGTTTGACACCCGTTTTTTGGCAAAAATTCATTTTGCTACAGTGCATCGTCGGAAAAAAACAAGAGAAATCAATTTCTTGTGTCAGAGGACATAATTATTCCATTTGACCGTTGCATTACTAACTACCGATTTTGCCCAGAAATCAATTTGCAAATCTGCACAACACCCCCTCAACTGAAGGGCATTCTTGGAATTTTATCAAATAACACCACCAGCTTTTTCAAAATAACCTACTGTGTCAGATGAAAATGAGATTATCAAGGATAATGGGGCCCACGCGTATTGCAAAATCCTGTTCAAAAATGGAAAAAAAAAGGTTGTCAAACGGGGGCTTAATTTCTATTCAGAATCTTGAAGGAACGATCCTGGTTTATTTATTCCAGGTTGAAAGGGCTTATCATCTTTATGTTATTATAATACTGTAGGCTTCTTATATGTGATAGCTACGTGCAGCAACATTATTTTTTCTTCTCTCCTGTTCCTTTTTCCCGTTCGTTTATATTTTTTTCCTTTCATTTATTTATTTTTTGGTTGCTGGTGTCAGGACAGCAAAATAAGTTAAAAAGTTAAGCTTCGTTGACTCTTGGCTCGAGCTTAATTTTAATGTATTTGTTTGGCGCACACTAAATTTTCTTCATTTCCGATATGTTTCTGTATGCTATTTTCAACTTGTTTATGTTCCAAGCATATTTAGCTAAATGACTTACTTTTTCTTTCATTGACTTTGTATTGACTGTTAAACTAAAACAACAATGTTGTTAGGTTGACGGATACCTTCACAATGAGGAGGAGAAGCGCTACAAGAAGATTATTTGGGAGGAAATGAACAAGGAATATCTTGTGGTAGTCTGAACTTTTGTATTAGATTCACTTTATATGCAACACGCTTATGGTTGAGATTATGATTCCTGCTTTCAAATTTCTCAGGAACAGGCAGCAAAAGAAGCAGCCGCTTCAGCTACAAAGAAAGCTTATGAGGCCAAATTCCAGAACTGTTCAGAGGATGCACAGAAGCTTGCAGCTGCTGCTGCGGCAGCTGTGGCGAAGTCAAAGAAGGTGGTATCCTGACCATAATATTTGTTGACTCTCCAATTGTTTCATCAAGTTTCATTATTTCCTTCTGATGATTATGTTGGACAATTTGCACACTTTCATAGAAGTTCGATTGATTTCCACATGCTTTGGCCTTGGAGCGACAAAAGTAATATGTGTTTAGAAAAAGGGTATGCTCCCTGGGGGTGAAGGAGGGGGTTCTGGTTTCAATTACTGAACTCCTGGTGCTTGCAACTATCCCCTTTGATCAATAGCAATATCTTTTGGTAGTTATTCAAATTACTTATTTCCCTTCCTGAAGTTATAACCTTGCTTGTTAAATCTTCAACAGTTGTCCGAACAGTTATTCAGTTGAGAAGCTACAATATGAAAGTCCAAACTATTTTTCTGTATCTAATTCTAATAGACATCTTAAAGAAAGTAGCCTCATCGGTACCTCTCCTGGATTTTTTTTATAGCAAATTGCTCAAATTAAATGGCGAACTTCTTTTGACAATTTTAAAAGAATAAAGCTTCTTGTACATTAATTGGTTGACATGAAGTTTGACACTCCATGTATTTTCAAATGCAAATGGGCGGGAAAGTGTATTTTATTTTAAAACTGTCCACTCATGCCACAACACGTGGCACAATGTCAAACTTGATGTCAAATGAAGTGTACATGTAGCATGATTGATTTTAAAAACATAATTTAATGAAGTGTGTTCTCTGCATCTCTCTGATTCCTGCACATTAATATGTTCTGATATATGTTTAAGGGGTCGTGCAAATAATTTCCATAATTGTGGGCTTGCACGAGCTTGTATTCTGATGTGTTGTAGGATATACTATGATATACAGGAAAGGCAACAGAAGCGAGCTGCAGAATTAAAAAATACAGTTCCTGCTCAAACTGCTGCCGAAGCCACAAGACAAATGCTAACTAAAAAGGTAATAATAGCAGCGGGAAACAGTCCACGCAATAAATGGTTTAGGCATTATGTTTGTCTAGAAAAAAAGGACTTATTAATACGAAAGGGTTGAACTTTGTCTATGGAATGTTAAGTACATGTAAAGTAAATAGAAAAAGAAGATTGGAATTGGTTTTCACTTGAAAAGAACTATAGAGGGTTCGAATCCCTCTCTCCCCTTTTTTTCTTTTTGCTCATTGAATTGATTTGTTTCTATTGGTTTGGCTCGGATTGGTATCATAAATTTTGTAGAGCCATCAATGAACACCAGTACAACATAGATAGTACAACATAGAACAAATAGAGAGCCCGTACATGGTCGAAAGCTGAAATCATATGAAGAAACCATTCTTCCTCTTCTGCCCCTTGCGTGTTGTGAACTATTGAAATATTAAAAAAAAAAAAATTAGAAAGAAAAGTTACCTAATGTAACAAATGATGGTCCGTGTTGTTCGAGATTCATCCTTATGAGAATAATGTACTCACACAAATCCATTTTATCAATACTTTTAACAACTGTTATTGATGTATAAATTAAAATGATTTTGATGCAGAGGCTGAGTTCTAAAATCAACTACGATGTACTGGACAAACTTTTTGATGAATCTGTAAGTTGTTCTTTCCTTTCTTTTTTGGCCAATTCTGGTGCTACATTTATTATTCACATTTCACAATACATGTGACAATAACTGATAGAATTGAGTTGGTTATAGTTCTAAATAGTAGTGGGTTTATGAACAGGAATGCAGGCCCAAATATTCTCAACATTTTAACTGCTTTTTTTCTGTTGCTGTTGTGCTTGGGCTCATATTGCTATTATGTTATATGAACTTCTTGGAGCACACCATGATGGATTTTCTTCTGTTGCGTGTATTTGCTTCCAAATTTAGGCAGTTTGGCTAGAAATTGGGAATATGTGCTCAAAGACAATATAGTCATTTTAACTCCTGATGTGTTGATAGATGCTTGGTTTTGGGCAATACCACCTATATTGACTTGACTCCCTACATAATGAAATTACATAACCATTTCATACCAATGCGCACGAGACTCAAGTTTATAGAAGGTTGAAGCCAGCTTTGCACTACCATTTACATCAAAAGGGGGCTTATATTGGTGATCCGATGCACCCATAAGCTCTCTTAAGAAGTTTGGAACTAAATGTGGAGTTATTGGACTAGAAAGAGACTCTGAGAAGGGACAAAGAAAAAGAAAAGGAAAAGCAAATTTTGAAAATGTTCTCAAAAGGGGACAAAATTTTTTAAATGGTTTTGAGTTACTGCAGTTTCCTAATTTATGCCATCTGCTCTGGCTACTGACAAAAGCCACCAACCTTTAAAGTACGTATTAATTCTTAGACTCTTCAATGGAGACATTTCAAGATTAAGTAACCTATTTCCCGGAGCTTTCTAGGTAGATATTTTCTACTGTAATTTATCTTATACATTCAGTTCTTTCTTTTCAATCCTAAGAACGTTATTCGCTGAATCTCCCTAGTTTCCCCAAGTTACGGTTACATGATGTTCATGTTAAGGCTATAAATAAACTCTCTCTCTTTTAATTGTATAACCTCCTGTTCAAGTTGTTTAATTTATAAATAAACAAACTTGAAATCTATTACATGGCTCCTTTTAAGAAAGTAAATGACTTCATTTCTACTCTCTTTCATTTATGTTTACAAAATATGTATGAACGAGGAATTTAAGTTACTCACGTCCATACATTTGTTTGTGTGTATCGTGGTACGAGCAATTTCAGTGCACCATATACCTATAATCACGCATGCATTCATATATGAATTCTTGCATGTGGACTAAAAGTACATTTTTAACCTCTAAAATCCTGTCTGTAAACGTGTTTTGTTTCCTCCTGTTCATACCAACAAGGGAATTTCCAAGGACCCCAAAAAATTTCGAACTGATCCAGACTCTTACAACAATGACACGTCTGCACAACATAGAGAAAGAGATCTCGAACACGAGGACAATTACAGAGAAGAGGAGACTCTTACAGAAGCATACGATCAAGACAACTACGATGAGAATGCAGTACATGATTACAACGACGATTATGATTATGATGACTTGTGAATATTGTATGGACGCTGTATGCTTTCACATTTTGATATTTTAACTTGTGAATGTTATAATCGTTTATATTCAAATTTTTGTTTTGCCTATTAATGTATATCTTGTAAAGACAAGGAGGTTGCAGCATAGTTAAAAGTGAAATTGGTTTCTTCGGTGTCATTATCCTCCAGCTTTGACAATTGGGAAAAATTCAGTTACCAG